TTGTACAAAAAAATGTATGAATACAAAATGAATTTTTATCATAATGATAAAAATACAAATTCAGTTTGTACCACAAAGATTATTTTTTAACAAAAAAAATGCTATAAAATATCATAAATTTCTCTTGTTTTCTAGATGGTTTAATGAGCTTCTTTTTTATTTAATTAAAAATATTATAAAAAAGTTATAAGTTATTTTAAATTTATATTTTTATAGAAAATAATTATAAATAGTATATAATGCGTTTGAAATAACTTTTACGTAGACCAAATAATACATTGCGAGCAAAATTTCTTTGATTCATGGAGATATAGAAGAGCATATAAGTTATCATGCTTGTATATTCACCATTTGAATTTTCAACAATTACATATTCGATTTGGCATATGGATGAATATGCAAGCATATGATTCATGTTTGTTTTAGTAATAGCAATGAGATTGTCCACTATCAAGCTCACACTAGCTAGAATTTTCGGAAGGAGATGTCATTCATTTGATGAGAAATCAAAGGATTTTAAAAAATTTGAGTACTTTCGAAGTAACATAAATAAAAGCATTGAGTGGAGTGGGACGGAAACAAAAAAGGGGGAAAAAGGCAGGTAGCCTCTAATAGCAACTAGAGCTGTAGGTGAGTGAGACTTGAGGCAAGAGGAATACAACAAACATCTTGAGTTCCTTCCACTAGCGCTATCCATTCACAGTTGCACCCAAAGGCTTAAATGGAGCGAATGATAATAAGGGTGCGTGTATAGGAAACCCTCGTGTTTGCGTGTTATGCACCAAGCCTTACAATCCCGATTTTAATCCTTTGATTTTGCCCTTAAACAATTTGAATCTCAATTGGATAACAATTAATGAACAAAAAACGTGTGAATTTATGCAAAGAAAATATTTATTATTTGCTTGCATGTGAAATAGCATTATGAAATGTGATTGTTAAAATTTTAGTAATTCATGTCATAATATAATGATTATATAGAAATTTATCAGTAAACATATATGTATGAACTAGTTCTAGATATAAGTAAATTATATGATATATTAAACAAATTAAATGATAAGATTAGAATTCAAAATTCTAAGATTATACCAGAGTTTAATTGGAACCTAGGGTGTACCTTATACACACAATTGAGGGTGTGCCATAAACGTTTCAGATATTTTTTTCGCAATAACAGGCAATGCAAAACTCAAACAATGAAAGATAAAAAATACTACGTTGCAGCATACTTAAGGCTACAAGTGAACCGGGGAAAACTAACTCCTCGACTTGTTATTTAATGAGTTGGCTGACAAACAATATTATCTTCTAACAAATCGAGTTTGAGTTAACTTTGATTTGGTTCACCAAGCAAACAAACTAAGCCAATACGTACGATATGCAAATATATATAAATCAAACAAACAAAATAAGTTTCTTACTAATTCACTTATAGAGTTTAAAGTTATAGTCTTTAATTTCTTAGAAATGAGCTTATATATTGGAAAAAAGAAAATTTTGAGTGGAAGAATTATTAGATGGAGAAATTAGTGTAGATGGAAATTGATGGTTGTTTATTCAATCATACCTCTATCAACTTTGTTCTTTCAACTTACTTGCTTGTCGAATTGAGTTTAAGTTTGGCTCGTCATGCTCATTTAGTAAGCTGGTGTGTAGTTCATATCAAGTTGGAATTAATCAAGTTGAAACTGGTCTTTCAAACACCTACACCTAACCTCAAATAATTTGTTTTTCAAACTGAACAAAAAATAATTTTTCCCTTAAATAATTTGAATCTTCAATTGGATAACAATTAATGAACAAAAAACGTGTGACTTTATGCAAAGGAAATATTTATTATTTGCTTGCATGTAAAATAGCATTATAAAATGTGATTGTTACAATTTTAGTAATTCATGTCATAATATAATGATTATATAGAAATTTATTAGTAAACATATGTATGAACTAGTTCTAAATATAAGTAAATTATATGATCTAACTAAACAAATTAAATGCTAAGATTATAATTCAAAATTCTAAAATTATACCAGAGTTTAATTGGAAACTAGGGTGTACCACATACACACAATTGAGAGGGTGCCATAAACGTTTCTGATATTTTTTCCCAATAACAGGCAAAGCAAACTCAAACAAAGAAAGATAAAAATACTAGGTTGCAGCTAGGGCTGCTAAACGGTACGGTAACCGGTTTACCGTTTTACTGGTTTCGGAAATACCGGAAACACCAAAACAGCTGCCGGATACCGTTACCATTCTCCACCCGGTACACCGTCTACCGTTCGGTACGGTATCGGTAAGGGAACGGGGTCCCGAATTACCGACAGACAGTGACCGCCTCCCTGCCACCTCGCGTCCTCGCTTGTCCGGCTGTCTGTACATGATGTCGTTGTTGTCCCTGTCGGCTGTCCATTCCTCAATTTCATCAATCATCACCACTCCTCAATTTCATCAATCTCCCTCCCTGATCTTAAATTCACAAACGCCACATGCCATCATTTCATTCCATTCCAGTCCACACTCCACAATGTCAAATTGAGAATAGTAAACAGACAAATTGTAGGCCGCAAGTGTTTGTCCATTTATTGATTTATATAGGCCTAACGAATGCAAAGTAGCCAGTACGCAACAGTCAACAGAATTTGAATTTCAATATTTCATTTTCACGAAAGTCAGGGATCACAATTCACATGCACAGGTGCACCGTGCACAGCGGAGAAGGGACGGAGACCGGAGACCGCAACGCGACGAAAGTAAGGGATCACAGCCGGAGAAGATTACCTCTACAATGGACGGAGATCGGAGACGGCGACGGCGACGGTCTCACGGAGTTCAACGGACAGCGGAGCGGTGATGGGTGGAACTTGCCGGAAACAGAGCCTGGATTTGGGCTGCTGTCTGCTGAGTCCTGTTCCCGTCGCTAGCGACGGAGACGACGGGTTCGGCGGCTGGCGTGAACGGAGGAGGAGGGTTCGACGCCAACGACGATGAAGTGAACGGAGGAGGCGCCGGGAGGGATCGGCGGTCGTGCAGCAGTCAGGGCGTCGGGACAGGGGATGAAATTATGATGGCATTGGTGGCAGGGGAGCTGGGTTAGATCGACTTAGGGGCTAGGGTTGCCTGTGCTGGGCTTTTGCCTTTTAGTTTTAGACTTTTAGAGGCCGACGACTTCGTTGTGGAGATCCGCGCGCTTGACAAAATCCATCCCCCTTTCGGTGTCGGATTACCGATATCCAGTCGGTAAACTGCAAGCCCGGTGCTGGCATACCGCCATGCCAAAAATTGCATCCGCTCACCGTTTTTTTTGGTAACCGGTTTAACCGGTAACCGCGGTAACCGGTTACCGCAAAACCGTTCGGCAGCCCTAGTTGCAGCATACTTAAGGCTACAAGTGAACCGGGAAAAACTAACTCCTCGACTTGTTATTTAATGAGTTGGCTGACAAAGAATATTATCTTCTAACAAATCGAGTTTGAGTTAACTCTGATTTGGTTCACCAAGCACACGAACTAAGTCAATACGTACGATATACAAATATATATAAATCAAATAAAGAAAATAAGTTTTTACTAATTCACTTATAGAGTCCAAAGTTATAGTCTTTAATTTCTTAGAAATGAGCTTATATATTGGAAAAAAGAACATTTTGAGTTCTTCCACATTATTAGATGGAGAAATTAGTGTAGATGGAAATTGAAGGTTGTTAATTCAATCATACCTCTATCAACTTTGTTCTTTCAACTTACTTGCTTGTCGAATTGAGTTTAAGTTTGGCTCGTCATGCTCATTTAGTAAGCTGGTGTGTAGTTCATATCAAGTTGGAATTAGTCAAGTTGAAACTGGTCTTTCAAACACCTACACCTAACCTCAAATAATTTGTTTCTCAAACTGAACAATTAATAATTTTTCCCTTAAATAATTTGAATCTTCAATTGGATAACAATTAATGAACAAAAAACGTGAGACTTTGTTCAAAGAAAATATTTATTATTTGCTTGCATGTGAAATAGCATTATGAAATGTGATTGTTACAATTTTAGTAATTCATGTCATAATATAATGATTATATAGAAATTTATTAGTAAACATATGTATGAACTAGCTCTAAATATAAGTAAATTATATGATCTTACTAAACAAATTAAATGCTAAGATTAGAATTCAAAATTCTAAGATTATACCAGAGTTTAATTGGAAACTAGGGTGTACCACATACACGCAATTGAGAGTGTGCCATAAACGTTTCTGATATTTTTTCGCAATAACAGGCAAAGCAAAACTCAAACAAAGAAAGATAAAAATACTACGTTGCAGCATACTTAAGGCTACAAGTGAACCGGGGAAAACTAACTCCTCGACTAGTTATTTAATGAGTTGGCTGACAAACAATATTATTTTCTAACAAATCGAGTTTGAGTTAACTCTGATTTGGTTCACCAAGAACACGAACTAAGTCAATACGTACGATATACAAATATATATAAATCAAACAAACAAAATAAGTTTCTTACTAATTCACTTATAGAGTTTAAAGTTATAGTCTTTAATTTCTTAGAAATGAGCTTATATATTGGAAAAAAGAACATTTTGAGTTCTTCCACATTCTTAGATTGAGAAATTAGTGTAGATGGAAATTGATGGTTGTTTATTCAATCATACCTCTATCAACTTTGTTCTTTCAACTTACTTGCTTGTCGAATTGAGTTTAAGTTTGGCTCGTCATGCTCATTTAGTAAGCTAAAAGATGTAGTTCATGTCAAGTTGGAATTAGTCAAGTTGAAACTGGTCTTTCAAACACCTACACCTAACCTCAAATAATTTGTTTCTCAAACTGAGTTGGGGCCACGGTTGGGGTCATCAGCAGCCCGAGCATGCTTTGTCTCCCTGGCCTTGCCTATAAATTCATATCCATTTCCATCTCCACCACTGCAATCGGCAATCTCATTGCCTAATATTACTTACTTCTCCCCACGACCTAGCTATACTCGATCAAAACCATGACGCCCAAGGTGCTCGCCCTCCATTACCTTCTCACTCTTACCATAACCCTAATCCACAGTTTCTCCTCGGCCGAATCCCATAGCTTCGCCACCAAATCGTCCCGAGCAGCGATAGGCCTCAAGGAAGAGAAGATTACCCACCTCCACTTCTACATGCACGACGTCTTCGGCGGGCCCAAAGCCACGGCGATCCCCGTCACCAAAGTTCTGGACAACAACACGTTTTATGGCGGGCTGTACATGGCCGACGACCCGCTGACTTTGGGCCCCCGGCGGGACTCCAAGCCCGTAGGGAACGGGCGGGGAACCTACGCGTTCCCTTCCCCGAAAGACTTCGTTTTGGAGATGAACTACAACTTGGGATTCACGCACGGGGACTACAACGGCAGCTCGCTTTGCTTGTTGGGGCGTATCGCCCCGACGTCGATCGTGAACGAGATGGCGATTGTTGGCGGGACGGGGGTTTTCCGGTTCGCTAGTGGATACGCCGTCGCCAAAAGGGTCGTGCTTGATTTCAAGGCTCAGCTTGTTGTTAGGGAGTTTAACGTTTATGTCTCGCATTATTAATTGCCAGCTGCCTGTTTTCCCATTGTTCGTTTTGTGTGTTTTGTATCGTGAAAAAAGCCGCAAAAAAACTTGAGACCCGGATTTATTGGATCGATCTCTTCACTTACGCCCTTTTCCGATTTCCTTTTGCACTTTTAATTCGAAAGCAAATTTCGTCGTCCGGCCACTTGTTCAAAGCCATGGCCGAAGCTCTCTTGACGATCATCCTCTTTCCGCATTCCATTTAGCTCCTCCTGGTAAGGATCACGGCCGCCGCCGAATCTAATTCTGGCGAGGGTTAATTCCTCCCGGAGCTTGTCTGCTGCGAGACCCCGCCGCAAGAAAGAGAAGATCAGCAATCCCCACGTTCGAACGTGCCAGTCACTCGTCAACGGGCTTCATCTTGGTCCACATATTCGATCACCCGCTCACAGTTGGGCCCGAGCCCATAGATTTTGGGAGGGCGAGATTGCGCTGCTAAGTAGAGGGCCAATGCTACGGTGTCGTTCTAAAAGTGCGGCACCGATGACGCTGGTTCCTATTGATCCACATGGAGCTGACGTGGTCCGGTGTGGTTTTGATTAACCCATGCCCAAATTCCATGAGTACGGGGTACGAGAACCAACCCGCCCCTCACATTCAAATGGAGACTCCCTCTCCGTCAAACCTCAAACGCTAATAACCATAAAAAACCCCCAAATGCCAAAACTTGTTATCTTTTTATTAAATAAACATTTAATTACGCTATGTTTCAAAAGATTCAGAAAACAAAAAAACATAGTGCGACGACGGAAGGAAGGTAGTTCCGCTATTGGAGAACGCCGTCGAATGAGATCAAAGAACTATCTTTTGGTTCGTCCGTCGTCGTTCCCTATTTTTGTGTTTTCTGAATCTTCCAAAACCAATCGAATTGTATTAATGAAGTAGGAGGAATACTGTGAAGAGTTTGGTGAAGCGTATGCAGTTTGATCAGCGACGGGGCGTTCACCACCAGAGCAGTTCGCTTTTTCAGAATCTGACGACCGAGTGAACCAGGAAGACGCCGATTCGCTTTTTTTCCAGAATAAAAATAAATGCAACTTAATGTTAATACATTTAAAATTAATAAATGAAAAAAGGTAACGGTTATGGGAACGGCAGAACACCAAGATAGACTTTTCTGTTAATTAGGATAGCAGGGTCGACCACTTTTAATGGGTCATCGGTTTGGATGGGTTTAATCAAAACCAGCCCAGGCTACGTCAGCTCCACGTGGACCAATAGGAAACAACGTCACCAGTGTCGCACTTTTTAGAACGGCACTGTAGTATTGGTCGCCTAAGAAGAGATGGCATTGGGGCGGGCGGGTACCTCAATATCCATACCCTGGCTCATGATATTACAGGTCGGGCAGGTATTATTCGCGCAGGTATTTAATGAACCATACAAGTCACTGTCGTATTACATTCATATTGCCCACCATATAAAAATACGGTAGGTAAAGTTATTATTAACTACCGTATTACATACGGTAGTGAAATTACGGTAGGCAAAAGTACATTTTTCAGTAGTGATTGGTATCGGTAATTGCCATAAATTACAAAATATTCAACTGATTAACATTTTTTAAGGCTGATAATAACCAAAGTTCAAAAAAGCACTAGGTATATAAGGCAAACGTTTTGGTCTTGCCTACTGTCTCATTCGCCTAGACGTTAATTGTTATTTTTTTTATTACCTAGGAACCTCAGCCCCACATGCCAATTTGTGACAGCGGGTCCTACTAAATCTGTGGGCCACCTGCAATCAAGTTCGACGTCAACGAAGCTTCGCCCCAGCAACCTTGTACTTACGAGAACACCAACGGGCCTTACTTAAATTCGAATCTGGGATCTGCAACTCCCAAACCTTCAATTGTGTGGGTTTTTCTTTCGATTGCTCTGAGAAAGAGAAAAGAGGGAAAGAAAAAAAAAAAAAAAAAGCGTGCTAGCTACCAAATTTGGTGCACGTTCAAAAGGATTTTTTATTTTTTTTTAAACCACAATTGCTAAGTAAACTCTTGCCCTGTTTACTTTCATTTCTGTTTCTTGTTTTTGAGAAAACAGATGTTGAAAACAGGTGAAAACAACATTTCGTCGTTTCCGAAAACAGCAGGAAGTTGCCACTTTCTGTTTTCATAGTTGGAAACGAATAGAAAACAGAATGAAAAATAATCAAGTTTTCTCGTTTCGGTTGCGAAATTTATGACATGAAAACAGAAAATAGGAAACGAAAATGGAAGTGAACAAGGCTTAGATTTTCAATATGTTTTCCTTATCTTTCGTGCAAAAAATGTGATTTAAGGAGAAAAGTAGAGAAACTTTGGTTTTATTATGATGTTGGTTTTGCTATTTGTGAAACCTTATACTTTTCACTACTCTATGAATTCCGTGTGTCCCAGATCATAGTCACATTACAACCTAAATAAAAGACCGTTAGACAAGTTAATTTGGCGAACTATTTTATGGAGATTCGATTAAACTGCAAATATTTAGAGGCTCACTTCAAGACAAAGAGATAATAATAGAGCTGAGAATTATTGAGATGCACATCTTTCAATAAATTATTGTCTTGACTCCACTAGTCGAGTGTTAGAGTAAATTTTCCAAACATTCTAAATTTGAGACCCTAGTATGGTCAAATTCACGTGATATTAGGGATGACAAATACCCACCCATGGGTAATTATACCCAAACCCAAGTAGACCCATTGATAATGGGTTGGGTATGGGTGAAGTGCATATGGGTTGGGAGTTTGTAGATGGGTTTGGCTAAGGTATGAATATTGCTTCCATAATCTAAATGGGTATGGGTTGGATATGGATATCCATTTACTTGAGGGTGTTTTAATTACACATGCAAAAATTGGACCTATTTGTAAAACTTGAAAATTTTAGCTACCAAAATGTAAGACCAAAAAAATTTAGGTACCAAAACGTAATTTTCCATTGATATTTTGAGGACTTATATGCAAAAAAATTAAATTTAGGTACTTAATATGCATATCTATTAAGTTAAGGTACCAAACTGTAATTTATATTTGGGCATGGGTACAAACCCAAATCCATTTGTTATAAACCCAATCCAGCCCAAAGTAAATGGGTATGGGTACAAACCCATCAAACTCTACCGATATCCATCTATTTGGATTTCATACCAAACCCAATTGGATTGAATAATAAAAAACTCATGGGTATGGACAAAAATTTCATACCAAAATTGACTTCCATGTTTAAATACCTGGATGTGTTAGAGTGAATATTTGGGATCACATAACATTTCATAAGTATGGGAATGAGAGCGATAGAGGCGGACTCACTTATAGAAAGATGTGTCAGGTCCATCTTAAATTAAAGATGTGTCAGGTCCAACTTAAATTTTGTGAGACATATTCCGGTTTTCTCGTTATAAAAAATTGAACATATGACCTCTAACACACTTCCGATAATTATAACCAACACACTTTTATTATATTACAATAAATTTATTGTCATAAGTTATTAAACTCTGTAAATATAAGATTTATCATACTTCAGGTTAGGTTGCTAATTAGTTGGTTGTACGAGAGTAAACAATTAATTGGTGACTTACGTAGTGAGTATTTGGAGAGATACTATCACCTTAGAGCAGTGGCGTAGCCATAATTTTGCTTTAGGGGGTGCCGATTTTTTTAAAAAATTGTGTTAATTTCACTTTTTTTAGATCTGAAGCTAAACTTAAAATGGTTTACTGGGAGAGATTGTTGTGACAGTACTTGTGTAGTCGAGTTAGAGTTAAATGTAGGTGCATTTGAGGAATTAACTTCATGCCCTTGAACATTTGGAGTTGTTTTTAGGGTTAATATATTTGTATGGCCTGAACTTTGACCAAAATAAACATTCTGGCCAATCTTTTTTATCTATAACATTCTGGCTCGAACTATACACCAAAATAAACAATTTAGCCAGATCCGACTTTTGACCGTTAACTTGGACGGTCAAACGCGTTGACCGTTAGTCAACGCACCATGTCACTGCCAAGTCAACATAAAATATTTCAAATAATTCACAATTTCCACACATTCCCTAATTTAAAATTATTATAAATTAAAAAAATCATCTAATAACTTAGTTAAACCAAAAATAAAAAACGAAAAAAATTAAATATTTATCAGATCTTCTGACTTGGCAGTGATGTGGCGAGTTGACCGTTAGTCAACGCGTTTGACCATCCAAGTTAACGGTCAAACATCGGGTTTGGCCAAATTGTTTATTTTGGTGTATAGTTCGGGCCAGGATGTTATAGATCGAAAAGATTGGCCAGGATGTTTATTTTGGTCAAAGTTCAGGCCATACGAAAATATTAACCCTTTTTTTTACCATTTTTATCAAGATTTCTCCATGGTAAAAGCTACATATTTAAAAAAACGGAGTAACCAAATAATTAATTGAAAAAACTCAATTAGATTGGGACAATAACAATAAGAAACCACAATGACAATCTCTATCTACGGGTTGAGGCGGTGATAATGGGAAATTGGTCAATTGGGATGGGGTGATGCTACCTATAGGTTACCTTTGTAGTGGAAGCCTGGAAGGGAATTTGATTACTAGATTGGTTTGTTATCCTTTCGATACTTTTTGGATAAAAGTATTTGTTTTAATATGTTATTGTCCCAACTCCTAAACGTCCAAGTCCACAAGTCCAGGTGTAATTTTAATGGGCTCTTTCCAACATACATCTATTCTCCCTTTGTTGAGCCCAAATCAAGGGTGTGCATTGGCACCCCCTTCTCCTGTGCTAGCTACGCCCCTGCCTTAGAGGAAACCTTGATTATTTGAATGAGAATTAAATTGATTTATAAATCTGTTTAGGTAGTGAATTCCAGGTCGTATTAATTACCGAAAAAAGATTCCGGGTCTTATTTCCTTATAGCTTCTTTTGATAAATTTTCTTAAAGTTATTCACAACTTGCTTTCTAATTTAGTTATTGTTTTACATTTGTTTTGTACAAACACGCTTTTATTGCTTACAGTTCCTTAATTTTAATCATCAATCATTTAGCGTATGCGAATCACTTTTATTATTTTTATCGACGACAAGACACCTATCAAATAATCTTGGATCTACCGGTTCAGAACAATATGGATTTGCAAATGAAAAATGCAGTTGGGGTCTTGTCGATCAGTGGATGGGTCTATAGGCCAGGGGAAATGGAATTGGGCCACACGCCATCGATCCGATTACCATATATCCCTATTTGTGATGTGATGGAACATATCAAGGTTACAAGCATTTAAGATTATGCTTGAACACCAATATTTTTGTCTCTTGTTGATCCTTTCTGTCACAACCGCCCTCGGAAAACCTGGTGTATCGCCCGAGGTTCGGTTTGGAGTCGCCATCGACCAAGCTTTGGGATGGGTCGAACACCCTTTTCCGGTTTTAATTTTTGTTAAAACCAGAATTATGGTCTGCGAATTTTAGATTTTGGGTTTGGGAGTACGGTTACGTGTGGGGAAGTGTATTCACACTCCACAACGCCCCAAATGGGTACTACTTAAATCGATAAGTTTTAAAAGGGTTGGGTGTGTTATTGTTTGTGCATTATTGTGTGATATATCATAAGATTCAATTGATTAGGTGTTTATTAATATACAATTTGATCATACGTTTATTAACATAATTCTCAAAATTAAAGAAAGAGTTTTAGGTTGGTTGGACTTGAACCTATCCGTTGCCTACGTACCCGGGTTAACCGGGATCAAAGTCCACATAGTTCGAATAAAACTTTGATGTTTTAAGAAGTAATTTAAACACGTTCCACCGATCGTGGTTCTTGACTTTGATGCGCTTTGGGTATAATTTTTATCGCTTTCCACTGAAAGTAAATTTCGTATTATAATTTTTGTTAATGAAATTTAAATTTATATTTGTGCAAAGATTTTAGCATTTGAGAGGTAATTCGATGTATTGGACAAAATACGAGATAAACTTAATATGCATCTTAACATTTCGTGTTAAGGATTTTAAATAAATAAAATTATACGAGATGATAATATTAACGCAGGATGGGCCAGCAGCCCAACTGGCTAAGTTGCCAGACCTTGACCGTGTTCGACACCGAGAACTACGGTTCGAAACACGCTAACCACGATTATTTGTTGATCTTGTTTTAGTGCAGAGAAGGGGGAAGGGCAGTTTGGTAAATTCTCAGAAAAATGGTGGCAGGGGGTGTAATTAGAGCAAAACCCTAAGGGTAAACTGGTCTTTCTCAGGTGGGTATAAATCCATTTTTTGGACGAAAAATCAAACCCTAATCCAGTCTACCCTAATCGGCCGCCTCCACTCCCCTCTCTCTCTGTCTCTCGGCTCTTCTTCTCTCTTCTCCCTCAGAGAACAAACGAAACCCTAACCAGACCTAAATCTTTCCCTCTGCCTCTCGTCCCTCTCGTCCAAGACCAACCGAAACCCTAGCCTAACTAAGCGCCGTTCTCTCCCCTCTCCTCTCTCACTCGCATGTCTCTTTCCCCTTCAAAGAAAAGACAGCAGAACCCTAACCACCCAAGCAAAATCGCCGCCGACACCCTCTCTCTCATCTCACTTCTGGAAACAACGAGTGGAAGAAAGGCGTCGCCGGCGGCGAACGACGACGAACGCGGCCAATAACGACGACGAACGACGGCTAGGGAGGCCTAAAGGTTCATTTTTCTGTTTGCATGTTCGATTTCTCTCAGATGGTTCTAATCTTTTAGAAGTCTTATACCTATTTCTTGTTTTTTTTGGAAGTTGACTCTAAACCGAGGGAAAAGCTTTTGATTCTGGCTAGGGGCACGGTGGTGACGAGGGGATCTTACCCTCTGGTAAGATCAACAGACACACATATCCATCTTTACTTGATTTAGGGACTTAAAATCGAGAGTTAACTTGTTTTATTTTGTTTTGATTTTTTGGGTTTTTGGCCTCTGCCGAGAGAAGGAAAGGAGAGGCGGCGGTCGCCGTCGCCGGCGGCGTGGATTACACCAAAGTCGACGGCGAAGGCTTAGGTAGGTTCTGTGTTTTTGTGTTTTTTGCTATTTTGGTTTTTTTTTCATTTTTGGGGTTCTAAGTCTGACTTCTTTGATTTTGCAGATTTAGGACGAGAACTTCACAGGTGAAATCCCTACATATTTTTGCTTGAGCACATGGCTTAGCAAAAACAGATTTTAAGCGATTTATATTATCTTAAGAAGCAAAAAGGTTTAGCAAAGCTAAAGCTTTTGCTAGACTGGTTAACAAAACCTAAGTGTTAGATTTTAACTAAGGTAATGAGTTTAAGATAGAGGGGAAGCCCTCTAAACAAAAGCAAGGTATTTTAAAATACCTTTCCAAAACTGTTCTTGTTTGTATGGTATCAAAATCTTGTTTCTGGTTGTTTTATTGAAAGTTTGAAACCTTAGTTAATCGAGCTTAATAAAAAAACGAGAACTTTGGGATTGGCAGGTACTTAGATTACCTAATCACTGATTAGAAAGCTTTGGTAAGATATGGTATTTTAAGGTGCGTCATGTTTAAATATAATAGTAGTGTATAAACTAAATAACAAAGGTTGGTTGATGCCAACAGCCACATGTTTGAGTTTACTGTTTTTTATTTTGATTGAAAAGCTTGGGTACTTCTAAGATGAGTTTCTTTAGTTAATATACTTGGAGAATAAAAACAATATAGAAGCAGAAAGTAAGAACCAAGTTTAGGAAGCATAGAAATCATAGAACGCATAGAAAGTAGAAACAAAAAAAAAAAAAAAAACTTAGAAAGTAAAGAACACAAGCATAGAAAGCACTGAAGGTAGAACTAACAAGCTTAGTAAGTAAATGAATAAACACATAAAACATTTAGACATATATTTGTGTTTTTGAGTATGGAGGGCGTGAAGTGGTGATGATGATGGTTTTTTAGTGATGAGAATGACCTACCCTGGCTTGTGATTGGGATGTGGTGGTTTGTTTGTTTGTTTGTTTCCTTCTTTGGCCTCTACTGGTCCTAGCTTCTTTGCTTCAGTCGCTTTCTCCTTATTTCCCTTTTCTTGGAAGCTTGTTATGAGAACAGAAAGGTAGAAGGTGGAAGTTTGCTCTTTTTACTCTTACCAGCTTGCTGGTTTTTTTACTCAAGATCTGGGTATGATCTTTGGGAAAGTTGGGCGGAGGTGAATGGTTTTTAGGTGCTCTTCTTTACTGCTCTTTACTTTTTGGGATGAGAATGAGAATATCTGTCTCTGTTTATTTTTTTTTGTTTAGGATTATCATGGCTAAAGAGGAATAGGGGGAAAGGGAAAGGGAAGTGCAGGGGTGAAGATGAAGAAGAAAGTTCAGCCCCTGCTTTTGTTGAGAAGGAGCATATCAAGGTAGGGGAAAGGAAGAAGAAGAAGAAGAAGAGCTCTCCAGGGAAGAGGAAGAATGAAGAAGTTTTTGTTGTTGTTGTTTTTCCCTCTTTTTTTGTTTGGAGTTTTGAGGAAGGAGTCGATCAGCAGAAGGAAGGAAGTGACAGAGAAGAAAAGGTTTAGGGAATGTTTTTTGTTCTCCCTGTTTTCAGAGCTGAAGAGCTCTTTTTATAGCAAAAAACATACATGTTGGCACAATCTAAGTGGCGTTGAGGTGATGGTAGGCGCCGCCCTCTACTTCTAAGTAGGTTGTGGATTGTGTTGAATCGAACCGGTTTGGTTCGGATGGTATAGGCTGAGTTGGGTTAAAAATTGGGCAGGCATGTTGACCTTTTGGTTGACCCGGATTTGGGCCAGTGTAGAGTGGGCTTGAAGCCAATTTATTTTATTGTACAATTGTAATTGGTTTAACCTAATAGCAAATTAGCGGTGTAATTAATGGTGTAATTAATTGTAATAACGTTTTTAATTATTTGGCATTGTAGCTGTCTTAATAAGATTGTTATGACTCCTATTTTTTGTTATGACTCCTATTTTTTATTTCGAAATCGCGATTCAATTCTCACAAGACCCAACGTCTTAAGAATCAATTAATTCACATGTCAAGTCATCACTAATGAATTGTATCAATTGAGATTAGCTATTGCTAATCTCATTGAATTATGGCAAGCAAGACCCAACCCAAGCACTACAATTATGTTTAAGTTAGAAGATCATTCAAGATTTGTTATTACAAATCTTAAACTGACACTAAATTTTAATTGATTAAATATGTTTTAACCCGGACAAAAAGTGGTGTCTACAGTTGCCCCCCTTTGTATATCTCTTGGTATTTGAGAGGTATACAAAGTTATTCATAGCACACCATTTTTTGTCGGTTTACTAATTGTATTGCGATATTTTATTTTGGTGCATTAACCAACTTCTTTGAAGTTTTGAAGTCATTGATTAGCTCCCATGTGGTATAGTCATTTAATGGGTCCTATTAGTTCCTCGGCAATGTAGCCTAGATGTGGGTGCTGATTGGTTTCCTCGCAATGTAGCCTTCTAGTGAGTTCTAATTAGCTCCCTGGTAGTGTAGCCTAGATGTAGGTACTAATTAATTTCTCGCAATGTAGCTTTCTAGTGGGTCTGATTAGTTCCCTCGCAGTGTAGCCTTCTTGTGGGTACTAATTGGTTTCCCTCGCAGTGTAGCCTTCTTCGCAATGTAGCTTTCTTATGCGTCCTAATTAGCTCCCTCACAGTGTAGTCTTCTTGTGGGTACTAATTGGTTTCCCTCGCAGTGTAGCCTTCTTCGCAATGTAGCTTTCTTATGGGTCCTAATTAGCTCCCTCACAGTGTAGTCTTCTTGTGGGTACTAATTGGTTTCCCTCGCAGTATAGCCTTCTTCGCAGTGTAGCCTTCTTATGGGTCCTGATTAGCTCCCTTGCAGTGTAGCCTAATGTGGGTGCTAATTGGTTTCCCTCCCAATGTAGCTTTCTTCGCGGTGTAACCTTCTTCGCAGTGTAGCCTTCTTGTGTTTGAGGATACGCAGAGTTTTTTCAAAACCTTAATCATAGGTGACATGGAGTTGTATGTTTGATAAGAGATGTTAAAGCAACCAATTGAGAAATTCTAGACGAAATTCAGATAGGTCTAGAACTTGAACTTGCAAAGTTTGTATGTGATGTCAAATGTTTATGATGATATGATGCAATATCATGATGAGATATGTTGATGAAAATGTTCTTTCACTTTAAGTAAACTCTGAAAATTATTGATGTTTACTTTGGCTATGAATTTCTTGATCTACCTAATGAATGATGTCATATGATTAGTTTGAAGTGCATTCGGAAATTATGCCATATGATGTATGTGAAATGCATTTGAAAAAGGTTGTATGATGAGTCATATGATGATGTCTTGGAGGGTATGGAAAGGAAAGAGCATAATGCCTAATCATGGTGTTGATATTTTTTATGGATTCTCTTAATTCGATCATCCACAAGGAAAATATGTCATTCCCTTTCAGTAAACTTGATCCTTGGTTGTGCTCGTAATGGAGTAGCATACTGCCGGCATGGGTACTTTCTTTCATTGGCGTGTGTCACTATCTCGAGGTACTGGGCTTGCCATCTAGTTTATCCTCTTTTATATACTCAGTGAGCACAAGGTATGTCATTTCTGGGACTTGGTGAAAGGTTGGTCCTCTGCTTTCTCCACCTTGGACACTAGCGCTTGAGTGGCTGATGTGTTAGCCATATGATTTTCTTATTCATGATTGTGCTTGGTAGGTTGATTTTGTGGGAGGCTTTTGTAGCAAGGTGGCCTCAGGATAAATGTTCTTTTTTAGTTTGTTTGATATTCTTGCTATGCGAGTATGTCATGCTTGGCTAAGAGGAATTTGTCATCTCTGGGTATTGTCTTGTTGATGTCGGTTTTCAAGATATGCTTGATTGACTTTGTCGGGAGGTATGAGGTACAAAATACTTCGTTGAAGGATAGTTTGATTGACTCGTTAGTCCAACATATTCGGGGTATCTTGAGATCTCTTCTTGAATTGGTGAGAAACTTGAGTAGTTTGGCTTCTGGGAGTTTCAAATTCTTCCTCCTCTAGGCTTCACCGTTTTTGTGTCTAGGGATCTGTTATGCACTTTCATCTTCGGGTATGTCCCATTGGTGCCGGCTCTAAGCTTTCTGGTTGGCCAATCTAGGGTACCACACGCCTAGTCTTGTGTTGTGTATTTCGTTCGGTAGTCATGGTATATCGAGTTCATTCCCGAGTCAAGTCGCTCAAGAATAATTTGACTGACTAGTTGGATACTTTAAATCGGAAGTGATTCAAAATCTCTGAAACTTCTTCATAAGCTAATGAGTTGACTAGTTGGGATCCTCACTTTACGAGTATTTCAACTTCCTTCTGCTCCGGGCCTCCTCATCTTGCCCCTGAGGATATATTACTTGCTTTTCTTCTTTCAAAACAATATGTGACTTTTACCAACCTTGACTTAAGACGAATGCAACAAAGTTTGCAAAATATCATTTTGAGGAAGTATGATGGGAACTTGATTTTGGAAATCGAAGCCTTGCATGAGGGAAGTGTGTGCAATTTTGAATAGAAATGTTTCTCGCGTGGTAATTGCCACTTTGTTTGAAATTCGTTTTTCATAAGTCAAGCCATGAGAATATCCACAAGGCCTTACTTTTATTCTCACTCTTACGCTCAATTTCATTCTCACTCATTCCTATGGGTGCTTCGAGTATACGACACTTCGGCTACTATCAAGATTCTTGTTACCATGTTGATGGGGAAAATGTGCTCGAGGTATAGGATGATTATGGAAGATTTGGGTGATCCCTGTATGGTTTCATGTTGAGGATTCTGGCTTGCCCCCAAAGTATGAGAAAGTATGGTGAATATAAGGGATCCTAATCGATGAAGCCTCATTTCCCTCGAGAGTGGTGGTTTATCTTCCTATCTTTGTGGGTATATTTTGGCTCAAGTTGCCCCCTTGTCTTGAAATTTTGGTTTTGAGGGGGTAAGTACTGAGGTCATTTAAATAGAAATCGATTCTATGGATCTTCTCACTTATCGAGGTCCTTGTTTCACCTTTAAATGGTGGATACAAGAGGTTTTGATATGATGCAGGTTTCGACTTCGCATTGGCTCTCCAAATGATAAAGAGGTTCCTTGCCTCACTTGGAAGTGAGAGTTCAATGGATGGACAATGAGGATGATCATGGAATGTTCTCTTAGTTGATGTCGACATTCTGGTGTTGGGAACTCTTCTCATCATGGTTTTCTTGCTCCATCTCTTCAGGCTGGGCTAGAAAATATCCTTTGGTTTCGGAAGCTAACTAATTTGACGACTAGCCCTGCTCGAGTGTATCAATCATGCTGATCGAGGGAAGTAGCCCTAAATCACACTCTTGTGACCATGTTGATGGTAACTTTTGCTCGCGAAGAGTTTTAGTGGTCCAGACTTAGGTAACCAGTTCGCGGAGCGAGAGCGGGAGCGGGAGCGGGAGCGAGAGCGTGAGAGCGTCATTTTCATAAGAACTTAATTTCGAGAGCGTGATGAGAGCGTCATTTATTATATAATTTTTTATTTTAATATACTTGAAAAGGTAGTATATAGAAAACTATTCCAATATATTTATATTAACAAGTAATGAACCATAAAACATTAATGAATAAATGTTTAATTAAATGGAAGTGTAGGTATATTTCACAACAACATTTAGAATTTATCAACCCTTCTTTCCATTCTATCATGTCATTAAATTATAATAATTTGAAATTTAAATAAAAACTAAACGAAAGTTGAAGATTACTGCACAAAATTATAGAATCCAAGATTAAATGGTCTTTGGGCTTCCCATCCACATTTCTGTTCCAAAAGCCCATTGTTCTGTTGATGAACCCAAACAAAAGTGAATAATTCCTTTCCACATCTAATGTCTTTCCTCATTCTGAAGCTTGGTGTCGGTTCTTCTTCCAGTTCACCGCCGACTGCTGGTCGCCAAATCTCCCCGACGCGAAGACCCCTTATTCCTACAGAAGGAAGTACTCCTCCATCCCTTCAAAATACAGATCACTACTTGCTAGTAGCTCGTTCCTTTTCAGTCCAACCATCGCTTAATTAGTCGGCAATCTCCTCCGTCCATTAAGAATTGATTGCTGCAGTGTTCTCGGTGAGTCTATTCCCACTACCCCGGCAAAGCCAATGTCTGAAAGGGCCACTTTAATCGGATTCTCGTTCTCCCTCAACAAACTCGCGATCCCGCAAAAGTAATTCGCGCTCCCAGCAAAATGAATTCGCGTATTATACACGAATTGCCGAAAATTCGCGTTTTAGCGAATTGGAGCGTGAGCGTGGGCCTGGAACCCACGAATTGGGTATCCTAAGTCCAGACTTTAAGTGCTCATGTAGAAGGTATCTAATTTGTAAGTCCCACAAGTTTTTTTTCTA